CTTGGCAGCTAACGCACTTCTGCTTATCCGGCGCTTTTGAGGTATTGTTTGTTTGCAAACCGTTTCTCATGCGTGCCTTACGAATGTATTTCAGCACAGGAAGTGAAACAGGCCTGCTGTCTATTATCAGTAAACCGAATATATTCTGCCGCTATTAATAATCTGTGCAGGGGGAAAATAGAAAGAGGAAGTGTGAAGACTCAAAACGCATGGCAGAGAGCTTCATATATATTTTTAATGTAGTTATAGGAAGCCACCAGATTTAGAAATGTCTCTCTTCAAATCTCCCTGAAATCTATTGATGTGTGCAGGTGTAAGAGGATGGTGGTGGTGATCTCTGATGAATACCTGGACAGCGACGCCTGCGACTTCCAGACCAAGTTTGCTCTCAGCCTTTGCCCTGGTGAGAAACATCACATGAAAGGAAACAGCGTCTGACAAACCTGTGCATGCATGCGACTGTTTTGTATTCAAACATTGACAGGTTTAGAGAGCATGACAGATGTGACGGGTAAAACGATAATGACATTGCAAAAATGTACAGATATTGAAAGTAAAAATGGTTTAATGAACATATTAAAACATCTATTGACCACAAAGCCCTGCTGTTATTGTCTGTAAGCAATCAGGTCCTAAATAAGCTGCAAAGGGACTCCATACTTTATTGATATGATTTAGAGCAGGGGGGTCAAACTCAAATACACAGTGGGCCAACATTAAAAAATGGGTACTAGTCGAGGGCCGGACTGGTTCAATGTTTATTGCAGAACTTATTGAAATGAACTTATTGCACATATTAAACCTGGAACTAACAAAGCTTAAATTATTGCCTATAAAAACAACATTAAACATTAAATAATCAGCTGCATTCATTTCTTATGGCTCTATCTGCAGCTTTTCCAGAGTCATTTCTTATGAGTACATTTTCCCACAGGCCAACAACAGCTTCAAGAAAACTATTTCCCTCAAAGAGAAAACCAAACATGCCCTGTTGTCCTGAGAGAGAAAGTGCAGAAGGAAACATCCATTGAACTCAGTGTGCTGCTCTGTGATGCTAGCTCAGATACTTGGCATCTCATCTTGGGGGCAAGGTCATCAATGTTTGGGCTCAGGCTCTGAGCGGAGGAGACCCTCAGGATGGAGGGAAGGTGTGCGTGCAATATACCGGCGGGCCAGATCTAATAGGAATTAAGAATTATCCTGCGGGCCGAAATTAAATCCACCACGGGCCTGATTTGGCCCCCGGGCCTTGAGTTTGACTCGTGTGCTTTAGAGTCATATTTGGGGGATTTATCTATGCCTAAAATTACAATTATTTGCCCCTTTTTGTTTGTTTGTTCACCGAGTAAAGCGGCCTTGGGTCCCTTGAAAGGCGCTATACAAATGTAATCTATTACTATTAAAATGCACAAGATGTTTACTTTCTTACCAATTATGTTATTGATTTCTTTAAGACCCTCTTTTCAGAAATGTTGGATATATGCACATTTTTAATAAACAGTGAACATGTCTGTTATTTAGCACTTAAATCCGGCTTCATTTTACCTCGTCTCACTGGTAGTCTATGACTAATCTTAAGTTGAAGTTCCTTTGCTCTATTAGTTGTCAAACAGCCATATAAGTTGAGATCATTTCACACCTTACTCTCAATTTCAAAACCAAAGTCATTCTCCCTGTCTTTTGTAATTGTAGCCGTGTTTTTCTGCATTGTCCCAGAGAGTAACCCAACTTTTTTTGAATATCTGTTCCTCTCAGGAGCTCGAGGGAAGCGTCTTATCCCAGTGAAGTACAAGCCAATGTCAAGGCCGTTTCCCAGCATCCTTCGCTTCCTCACGATATGCGACTACACCCGGCCGCTCACACAGGACTGGTTCTGGAAACGTCTCGCCAAAGCCCTCGCACAGCCAGCCAGTCATAGTTAAAGGCGCCTTTTTTATTATTAAACATCATATCGTTAAAGTACGTGCAATTGCTTGTGTCACTTATAATTTACTCGGTCTATTTGTGTTTCCTATGAGGATGAAATGGTGATTATTATGAAGCTAGACAGGGATACCAAATATCAGCAAAGTTCTCACACAGTTATGTTTCGGGAATATCAGGTTGCTGCCGCCGTTTTGTATTTATGTGAGGTACAATGTGAGGAGGAGGTGTTTTTCTTCAGAACAGCATGTAATTCTCTGTTAAAGCTGGTTTTTTTTGCGCTTGCCACTTCCTGTTATGAGGCAACTTCTCGATGAGATTGTATCTGAAGAGGAAGAGATTTCAGATTGTTCCACTAAAGTCTACTGACACCTACCTTTATCTCTCTTTCTGTAATACTTTTGTATATGCTAAGATGTAATGTATTTGACTTTGAAAATAAATTGAATGAGTATTATTTCCTTTAATAAATGTATCACATTTTAAAAAGGTAGTTTCCTTTTATTTCAGAAGCAGAATTCATGTACTATTAACCCAGAGGGGGAAAATAGATTAAAAAGAATCTGCAGTATTAAAATAAGAATATATTCCAATGTTGTCCAGCAGGTGTCGCCAGTGTGCAGAACAACGTTATAAAATCAGAGGTGTCGTTAATTGAATGCTATAAAGAAGACCTCAGCCTAGTACATTTGACAGTTAACACATCAACATCCAATCACAGAGCAGCGTATGTGATACCGTCCAATCAGTGAACAGGGTGGTCTGGAGCAACGCCTCTTTTCACACGGGTATTTTATTGTTAATATGTGCCCTGAGTGTGGCCTGTCAGGTAGAATTTCCCAGCCTATGCTCAACATAAAAGTGCTTCATCAATGAAATTATTTTGGGTTCAAATGGATTAAGTATGGGATGTGATTATTTGAAAAAAATCATGTGGTTTGTCGGATGTATGAGAAGAATGGATGCCTCTAAGTCCTTCAGCTGGGAAAATTAATCACCTAGTATTGAACAGCCCGCCATTGAAAGTGTGGCGGAACCCACACGCCTTATTCGTTTTTAGGCATGTTTAACATAATATTAAAATACTATGTGTAGTGTTTGTTGGTACCTAGAAGGGGAAATGCAAATACATGCAGTCTCAAGATAAATAAAGCTACATATTTGTGCAACAAACCTTTCAAAAAGTCACTGGCACAGTCAGGGTAATTAACCGGCAACCTGAGCTAATAATAATTCCCCCTTTTTAATGACTGTATTGGAATTCAGGATTTACGCCCCTCACTCAATATGGCGACCGGGGAGGTCCACATTTGCTCAGTAGGAATGCGGTAGGCGGGGCTGCGAGGCTCGTGTCAAACTTTGGGAATGACAGGAGTGCTGCAGGATTCGCAAAGAAGGGGAAGTGTCGCCCTCCTGTTTGGATTACTTCTTTTACGCACAGTGTATGGGATTGACCACATTTTCTGCAGATAGTAGACGTCCCCCCAGCACACTCCTCAGCCATGTCCGAGGACCAGAGCCCCCAAACCTGGTCCATCAACAAAGATGACTATGAGCTACACGAGGTGATTGGTATGTATGTGGTCCTTAGCTTTGTTAGCTCAATGTGTTAACCGTGGTGCAGTTAGCTCCAATAAAGTGACAGCTTTAATTAATTCACGTGTGTACATCAAGAAGAAGGCATGTTATATTTTCTGGAGCTAGGATAAGATCATCGCGTTTGGCCGACTTGGCAATCCTAGCCGGGCGGTGTTGTGTTTTAGTCAGAGATACACTAACCCCGTCCACCGGGGCTACGCCGGGGCATTAAACTATTACGTTACTGTTTTCAGGTACTGACTATTTGCTGGAAAATAACTGCTTTCATTGAGAATTTGAATATTGATTTTAACTGCTATTCATAGTACATTATAGTATAGTTTTTTCTTATTTGAACACTAAAAGGGCGTAGTATCAATGACATATAGTGGTGGAAGAAGTACTCTAATAATTTACTTAATTAAAAGTAGCAATTCTGCAGTACAAAAATACAAAAATAAGTGAAAGTCCTGCATTCAATCTGTACTTAAGTAAGCGTGCAAGTATTAACATCAACATATATTTCAAAGTACTCACTATGCAGAATGGTCCATTTAAGCACCATATATATTTTAAATTTCTGTATTAAAATGATTGGTGCATTAATGTGTTCAATCCTTTTAATGTTGCATAAAGTGGGGTTTGTATGAATTACTTAACATTTAATAATATATGTTTATTTATTAAGTACAATACTTGAGTAAATGTACTCAGTTAGATTCCCCCCATTCCCAAATATAATACACTTCATATGAAAGCATATCACTTTTTCCAAAACACTGGTGTTGCCACTGCAAAGTCCAGAGATTAGACTCGATGGTCCTTCGCAGAGTAGAGCTGTTTTGGGCAATTTACTGCCTGAATGAATCCAGTTATGTGAGAGCAGTTGGAGAGGATGAATCAGTTTTGAAGGGCTCTTAAACACGTCTCTAAAAGGAAATGGGGGGGGGGGAAAGTCATTTGAGAATTTGCTGGGAAACATAAAAAATGCTTTGTTTTATCAGTCTGCTTTGTATGTATCACTTTGGACACATATAACTCACCTTTCCAGGCAGCTGTACTTTATTTGTTCTGATATTTACCACCCCACCTATAACCTGACCCTGTCGTCTGCTCAGAGGGAAGGAGTGTGTAACATATAAGCAAAGTATTGTCCTCTCAAATCACTACATTTGTGCCTCTGGTTTACTTTAAGTGGTGCTTGCTTCCTCTTCAGGGAATCTGTGCATATAGAGGGTCCATTCTGCACGCCTTTTGTATATTTTCTAAAACATACTCAGATTCAACCCATTTCTACTTTCTTGGAACATCTGATCTGGGGTACCTCACAAGATAAACCCTGCAATTTAGCATGAACACAGACAAAGCCCCTCTTGTATGGAAACCAGTTCTGTGGCATTTCTCTACGCAATGTGCAACACAGATTGTTAGGTTTGGTGAGGCTATTTCCAGGTTGTACTGGGTAAGAAGAATATCAATTTGGCTTAGGAAATAAACGGTGTAGTTGTTGTCTAAATGACATAAAAGCTGACCACTAGTTGCCCTCGCACATCTAAAGGATCTACCTTGTTTAATATCCAATCGTAACTCTCTCTGGCTGTGGTCCAAGGCTCCTCGTAAACACAAGTTAGACAGGAAAAGTCCTTCTGGTTGGCATCTGCTTCTGGTCAGGTTTAACCTTGCAGAAAGTCCTGTGGAGTTTTCCTGCTCTCTGCCCTCTTATACAGTCTTTCTATGACTACCTTATTTCCATTGCAGCTTTAAAAAATGAGCTTTGGGTCTGAGGGACGCCTCGAACGAGATAATTGATCAGTAAATCAAACAATAGTCAAGTTTTCTTCCATTTCGTTTATCCATTTTTAGTGAACACTCTTTAAATCTCTTGCTGTTCTACCAAATCAGAATGACTTCCTCAGATCATTCTCCTCAGGTTACCTTCTTAGTAACTAGCCTCAAGAGAACAACTACTGCGGGGGAAAGAGATCGGAGCCTCAATAGGGAGGTTTTTTCACAGAAACATTGTGTGTTGATGTTTGGACGATCTTCTCGAGGTTGCACAACAGTCAGGGGTTGTTTTGGAGTGTGTATTCTTAGAGGAGGGTTATACAAATGCAGTATTGACTCCTTCAGATAATTAGTTCAGCTCACTGTTTGTGTAGGAAAGATAACATAAATAGATTTTTTAATTTGGATTTGTATCTGATTGCGATCAGATACAAATCTAAATTAAAAAAATCTATTTATGTTATCTTTCCTACACAAACAGTGTTTGTAACACGAGCTGTGTGTCTCTTGCTGTTATCTGCTTCTAGCATCACTGAGTGAATAAAGAAGTTGATTTGATTGGAAATGTTCCTCATAGTCAGTTCATGTCCCATCAGAACGTGCAGCACAGTACGTGCAAACATTGAAGGAAATTGTGAAAAGAGACCTTCTTGTTTGAACTCAGTATCCAAGAGATATTCGAGTAAAAACAGCCTAGAGGCGATCTCTCCTCAAATTGTTTGTCCGACTAACTCTTCAGATTCTCCTCAGAGTTTATTTTCACATAGAGAAGCAGAAAATCCCCAACATTTTAAAGCTGAAAACTGGAATTATTAGGGATGTAACGATACCAAAAACACGCGGTACGATAATATCGCGATAACAAGTCCACGGTACGATATTTATCGCGATATTGGAAAAAAACATTTTATCCTGCCTTTTATTTTATTTATTTTTAACTTGAATCTGATTTGTACATCATTTTAGTAGATAGTAGTATTTTAAAGTGTCAACAATATAATAATCAGACCCTGCAATAAAATAAATCAATTTTCACTTTAGTTTTTCAAGTAACTCAACTCTAACTCTCTCGCTCACTCGCTCACTCACTCACTCGCTCACTCGCTCACTCTCTCACTCACTCTCTCACTCGCTCACTCACTCACTCGCTCGCTCACTCTCTCACTCGCTCACTCACTCGCTCGCTCACTCGCTCACTCGCTCACTCACTCACTCGCTCACTCACTCACTCGCTCACTCGCTCACTCTCTCACTCACTCGCTCACTCACTCACTCACTCACTCACTCACTCACTCACTCACTCATCAAGGTTATCCTTTAGGAATATGAGCATGTCCACATTTCCAGGTAGAAGCTGGGATGTTTGGGTGTTTGCAAAATCCCCTGCTGTGGAAACAACTCTCTTGCTTGGTACTGATGTTGCTGGGACAGAGAGATATGCTTTGGCTATGGGTGACAGCAGTGGGTCAAACTGCATTGTCTCCACCACTTCAACAACAATACAGTTGTTGCCAAGAAGGTGAGGCTTATTGACAGAGATATAGATATACTGTTGGTACTTGTCAATGTCTCTAGGTCTGTACTTGTAGCCTGTAAATACCATGTCCTTTTGTGTTATCTGTTGTTTTATGTTCATGTTGTAACCTACTTGCTGCCATGTTGGACAGGTCTCCCTTGAAAAAGAGATCGACGATTTTGTCACGACGGTATTGAGACCTTTATTTATCGTGATATTCGATATATCGTTACATCCCAAGGAATTATCTGTCATTTTTGCTTCAAATAATGACCTGTTCCTTAGTGGTTTACAAAACTCCAGTAATATTATATTCTAGAAAACTTATCAGACAATCAAAAAGCAACCACTAGACTACGATTTATTGTCAACATTAAAGCTGAGGCCATTTCAATTATTAGTATATTGTATTCTGTGATATCTGGATAACACACTAAGTCAAGTAACAAGTTTACGATACTCAACAAGAGATAATTAAGCAATAGCTCACGACAGGCTGTGGTATATGCTCATTATATCACAGCTAAGGGGCGTGGTTCGGCCCGACGCGAAGCTTTTCAGCCCAACTGTATACAGTTAAATCGACCGGACTTCTTTCTGCAGATGTGAGCGTCCTTAACAACGGTCAATAAGTCCTTGCTGCACATTATCCCTTACATGTTTCCATCTTAAGCTTTGTTACTTAGTTAGTTTCGTAACGGACGTAATGTAACGGTTGTAGCTTTTCTCAGATGCGGAGCGATACTGACTTGTTGTGAAAAGTAACTACAATTCTACCCGTGGTATACGCTCATTATATGACGGCTAAGAACCAATCAGATTGCTTGATTTGACTTGTGCGTTTTTATAATATGACAATTTAACCCAGTTACATTTATATCAACTCACAAAAACCACTAAAATATGATTTGACAAATTCATTACTGGGCTCTCGCAGACATTTAAGTGAAACACTGATCTTTTTAATACTAGCAATAAAATAGACCTTGTCTATAAAGTGCCACATCGCTCAATTGTAAATACTGTACAGGGTTACATGCCATAGGAATGACTTTAACTTTGGATCAATGTTGAGTCAGAGGCTACTGGTAAGAAGAAGTGTGACATTTCCTCGTTGTACCTTTCTATGAATAATGTGAGGAATGACATCCAGGTATGCAGAGGAAGTGTTTTAAAAGACGTCAGGCGCAAACTGGCCCGGTGAGAAACAGACAAACTGATGGTGACCTCATCCATGAAGAAGCCAATCAAAGACCAAGCTAAAACGATAATTGTGCCTGGCATAAATATTCAACAAGTATCCGTAGCGTTTTCTGATGAATGAAAATTACGTGTTTTTTTTTTTACCAGACTGCTTTCTGCGGATTGACACAGTCCCTTGATCCTCCTTAGCAACAGTCTTCTCTCCTTAGCAACGGTCTGCTATCGTAAAACAGCAGACCACTGGAATGCTCTGTTGACCAATCAGAATCAAGTATTCAACCTGAGCAGTGTAATCATTTGGTCTTATCTAATGAGTACCACGAGACACTGAGATTTAAATAGTTTCTTGTCATTTTAATGGTGTTTTAATGATTCAATTAAGTGTTATGCTGGTTCTTTGTCCACGTCCTCAGTAAGCTTATCAATCTGTCGACTATTCCCTTGTGTTTCCCCATCTTTTCAAAGACTTCTTAGCCATGCGCCAGAATAGAAAGAATGCAAACATTCCATACTGGGACGTCAACTCCCTAAAGAGCAAACATGTCAGCTATCGGCTTAACGGCAAAGCAGCACACGAGTATTTAGGGTTAAACAGGAAAGTTCATTTGAAAGAAAAACCTCTTGCCTGTCCCGTTCACACTTCGCCTGGTCGTAGTGTGATAATCTACGGGCTTCACTTGTTTTGAGAAAACATGCTTACAGAAAACATTGGATGCTTTTTTTCAAAGATCATGATTGTTTTGTCAATGCTCCCCTCACAGCGTGGTCACGCTCTCTTCCCCTCTGTGGCTCAGTTCAACATCCAGAGAGATGCAATTACATTTATGATATAATCAAGCGTGTGCAAAGATTTAATCATGAAGTTACTTAAATGTACAACAAATTGTATTTTTGAGAATCGACAGAAGATCTTTGAAGTAGTGTTTTCGTAACGAGCTGATCCTGTTCTCTTTTATGAAGTCATTTTAAAAGCATGATAGAAGAGGTACCATGTAACAAAATGGTTTCTCTGTATTTGACCCATCCTAGTGTTAGGAGCAGTGGGCTGCCATTATGAACGGCACCCGGGTGGCAGTGCCTTGCTCAGGGACACCTCGGTAGCACTTGGTCTTGCCGGGACTTGAACTGGTGACCTTCCAGTTGCCAAGTCCCTATCGACCTCACCACCACCGCCCACTTCAATGCAGCCTTTACATTCGTTCCAGATTAGATGTTGACTCTTTCAAAGCCCCGGCACTAATGCAGTTTCTGTGCCTCCTTTGGGATGAAGACGTTTTGTGACGATCTTATTTTCTACGACTGACTTGTGTCCCCCTGTGTGCATCGTAGTATAATCACTGCAGCTTTGCTTCAAACCTCAAAGGCTTCTCTGAGTATTTCATAATCATGTAACTGGATAGTAGAGACGTGACTCCTCTGAGCAGAGCAACCTTGTGCTAAGCTTGGAATCCATATCAAAGAGCATCAGGTCCATGTTAACTCAAGGTCCTGACTAGCTGCTGAATGGCTCTTCTTTTTGAGACTAATTGGCTGGCCTTGGTGCCCCTTGACCTGACCCAACAACCCCCCCCCCTTTCCACACACACACACACACACACACACGCTCCCCAGCTTGTCCATCCACCCCTGACGACTGGCTGTTTGTTTGGAGGAATTTACACGCCAATGTGTACCAGCGGAGCAACTGGCTCCCATCACTGGCCGCCCTCCAGGGGGTTTGTTTGGTGGTGGGGGGGGGGCTATGGAGGATATATTTACAGCCCCTAGTTTTGAGCTTTGGTGGAGTTATCTGTGATTTCTTTAATGCGTGATAGTTGTGCAACTCCAAGCATTAGATGGCACCCGCTATAGCTTCAGGAAGTAGTCTTTATCAGCCATATTCGAGATTCAAGGCTTTTATTGTCGTGTGTGCATAGCGACAGTGTAGTTATGACAGTCTTAGGTCACAGACTCCTCCAACAGTGCAACACAATAAAACAGATAAAATAGTGCAAGTAAATAGAATATAGTAGAAATAGTGCAGAATAGTCTATACAGTAATTGGAATATCGATATATATATAAGTTGCAAACAGATGAATGTTATGGATGTTCTTTCAAAAGTTCAGGTGTTTCTCTGACTGTTTTTGCGGGTATTAAAGTGACTTTAGTCGATTAGGGTTGGAGATTTGGGAAAACATGACTTGCTGCAATCCATTTGATGGATAGTGCCTCTTCAATATGATTTGTGAGAGATACATTTTTTTTGTACATTATTTGCATTATCATAAAAAAATATATTAAAATGATCATGGAGATTAGTTTTCTTTGAGGAGAATGTGAACAATGTTCAGTCACTCGAATACAGTTTCGTTGACCACATATTTAGCCTTTTACCGTATATTTGCCTCACTGCATTTTAGATATTGCACCAAACTGTTTTACTTAATTTAGATCAAACTAATTGTGCAGCCCTCGTGTCAAATACAGGAAATTACAGGGAAATGGTTAATAATCTCATGTTATTCTTCTCCCACGCAGCCTGAAGCCATAACTACATTGAACAAAACACAGTTAAATAAAAAGCAGTCGCGTCTTCAGGGACAGCTTTACTATTTGGCCGCAGCTACTAAGAGCGAGCAGGAGGTTAGGAAAAGGTTACTGCAGAGTGAACCAACGATCACTCTTTCAGTCCTGCTGCCATAGGACAATGTGCTCCAGGCATTGCTCAGCATCACGTATACTCCCGAAGTGTGTGTGTGTGTGTGTGTGTGTGTGTGTGTGTGTGTGTGTGTGTGTGTGTGTGTGTGTGTGTGTGTGTGTGTGTGTGTGTGTGTGTGTGTGTGTGTGTGTGTGTGTGTGTGTGTGTGTGTGTGTGTGTGTGTGTGTGTGTGTGTGTGTGTGTGTGTGTGTGTGTGTGTGTGTGTGTGTGTGTGTGTGTGTGTGTGAGTGAGAACAGGCTCTCTTAGGAGGGAGACAACAATCCTTCACTCTACCACCAATATCCAGGATGAAGATTAGTCCACTCTTGTTGGATTCAAACTTTAATCAGATTGTGTTCAAGTGGTGTCCAGGTTTTGAAATCTGTTAAAGGCGGCCTAATATGTTCACACACAGTACATATGTACTTTAATTGTAAATGAATCATGTGTGGTCTCCTTCTTCTGTCCAGGGCGTGACAACAACACACTAAAGGGAAAACCCCCAAAAGTGACTCCTTTAAAAATCCAGACCACATTGATATTTTACTTGTGTCAAAGGGACCTTTTATTTAAAGGTCCCATGTCATGCTTTTCTGGTTGTTACCCGTCCCCTTGTGTTATGAAGGTTGTTCTGCATGTAAACGGTCTGCAGAGTCACAAACCCTCAAAGTACACCCTGTAGCGAGTAAAACTCTAACACAGAGAAGACCTGTCTGTGCTGCCCCAGAACGCCTCGTTGGACATTTCTCTTTTTCCATTGTTTACTTCTTGGGTATAGTGACGTATTTCGTGTATAGTGATGTTACGTCCGCGGAGCCGTTACGTTTGGACCAATCTGCGGACTTCCTCACACACTCTGCGGGACGGTGCGAGGACACTGTGAGCTGGCTCAGTGGTGTGGGGTCGGTGAGACAACGAGACACCGCGGAACTCAGCCTGGGCACACACACAAACTCCCAGCCAGGCTGCGGGTGTGTGTGTTTCGGGCTGGGTTTTGCTGTGTCTCGCTGTCTCGCAGGCGGCCACTGGGCTCACAGGGAGGGAGGGGGGGGGGGGGGCAGGAGCTCCAACAAGCCGTGTAGGACAGAGGGACACACTATACAGAGATGCTGTATGAGAAACCAATGTGAGTTTGGAAAATTGCACAATATACATTTATTTTAGTAGACCTCAACAATGATCAGTAGAAATGGGACCTTGAACATCCTCCTAGTTATAAAACTGCCATCATGTCAAGAATAATTGCCCTTTTTCAAAAAAGCAGTGAACACAAACTTCAATGTGTGCCACAAATCTACAAAAGGGAATTTGGTTCTCTCTCCGACAACCCTAACCCTAACCCTATCCTCCTGGGGAAGTCTGGTTTGAAAGAGTCACTCCCAACCCTCCATCAGGCAGGATTTGGGAAAGCTGATTCATAATTGATGAACAGAAAGTGAAGCTTTGCCAAAGAGAAATCGGATGAACTGTGAAAAGCAAAACTGTGCTTAACCTGCCTGAACTCGGGAGGATTTAAAAGTTATTAAAGTTTGTAGACGGGGTTAGGGAAGGGGCAGACAAAATTACACGAAGCCTCAGGATGGGAATATGACCTCAAATGATTGTGCCAAAGTTAATTTCCACAACAGCACGGACAGTCTTATACCAGATCATTATTGTACTGAATATTAATCAAAGTGATGTTTTTTCTCGTGTGTTTCAGGGAGTGGGGCCACAGCAGTGGTTCAGGCAGCGTACTGTTTACCACGCAAGGAGAAGGTGGCTATCAAACGTATCAACCTCGAGAAGTGCCAGACGAGCATGGACGAACTCCTGGTAAGAAACACAACACAGAATGTGACCCTTTATTTGTATCCTGATTACGTTATCCTGTTACATGTAATGCGTTACTTACCTATAGGCATGTCTATGGTTTTAAAGGGTTTAGTGCATTGCTAATGTCATCCTGCAGGCTAGCTAGCTAACTGAGCTAGCCACTGATGTGCAGCACGTTACACACCGAGATGTTAAAGTACACACATCCTTGACTCAAGTAGAAGTGCAGATACTCGTGTTTAAAAATACTCTGGTGAAAGTAGAAGTACTGACTAAACTTCTTTACTCAAGTGAAAATAAAGAACTTTGAAATGTACTTCAGTAAAAAGTACCCATAACTAGCAGCTGCTTTAAAGAGTACCTGACCTCCCTTTATATTAATAGAACAATAATGTCATTGTTAGCTAATGAATGTTTCCATGCTGAACAACGGCAACATGACAACGTTTCCATTGGTCCCTCTTCTTTAGAGGAGACCAGGAAATGATGGATACACGGATCGTGTTCAAATCAATAGGCACGCAATGACTCTAAAGAATAATGATCACGCATCAAACACACATTCAGACTAAAGGAACCAGCTGTTTGGAAAATGAGAGAAGTAGAAAGTACAGGTATTTGAGTTCAACATGTAAGAAGTAGAAAGTACAGGTATTTGAGTTCAACATGTAAGAAGTAGAAAGTACAGGTATTTGAGTTCAACATGTAAGAAGTAGAAAAGTACAGGTATTTGAGTTCAACATGTAAGAAGTAGAAAGTACAGGTATTTGAGTTCAACATGTAAGAAGTAGAAAGTACAGGTATTTGAGTTCAACATGTAAGAAGTAGAAAGTACAGGTATTTGTGTTCAACATGTAAGAAGTAGAAAGTACAGGTATTTGAGTTCAACATGTAAGAAGTAGAAAGTACAGGTATTTGTGTTCAACATGTAAGAAGTAGAAAGTACAGGTATTTGTGTTCAACATGTAAGAAGTAGAAAGTACAGGTATTTGAGTTCAACATGTAAGAAGTAGAAAGTACAGGTATTTGTGTTCAATATGTAAGAAGTAGAAAGTACAGGTATTTGTGTTCAATATGTAAGAAGTAGAAAGTACAGGTATTTGAGTTCAACATGTAAGAAGTAGAAAGTACAGGTATTTGTGTTCAATATGTAAGAAGTAGAAAGTACAGGTATTTGAGTTCAACATGTAAGAAGTAGAAAGTACAGGTATTTGGGTTCAACATGTAAGAAGTAGAAAGTACAGGTATTTGTGTTCAACATGTAAGAAGTAGAAAGTACAGGTATTTGAGTTCAACATGTAAGAAGTAGAAAGTACAGGTATTTGGTTCAACATGTAAGAAGTAGAAAGTACAGGTATTTGGGTTCAACATGTAAGAAGTAGAAAGTACAGGTATTTGGGTTCAACATGTAGAAGTAGAAAGTACAGGTATTTGGGTTCAACATGTAAGAAGTAGAAAGTACAGGTATTTGGGTTCAACATGTAAGAAGTAGAAAGTACAGGTATTTGGGTTCAACATGTAAGAAGTAGAAAGTACAGGTATTTGGGTTCAACATGTAAGAAGTAGAAAGTACAGGTATTTGTGTTCAACATGTAAGAAGTAGAAAGTACAGGTATTTGGGTTCAACATGTAAGAAGTAGAAAGTATAGGTATTTGAGTTCAACATGTAAGAAGTAGAAAGTACAGGTATTTGTGGTTCAACATGTAAGAAGTAGAAAGTACAGGTATTTGTGTTCAACATGTAAGAAGTAGAAAGTACAGGTATTTGGGTTCAACATGTAAGAAGTAGAAAGTACAGGTATTTGGGTTCAACATGTAAGAAGTCAAAAGTCGTCCGAAAAATAACTAGTGGAGTAAAGTATTGATACCAGAAAAATGTACGTAACAAAGTATTTGTACTCCACTACTTGTCACCTCTGGTTACACAAACGTTCCTGCTAATGTCACGTCGGTGGAGTTATCTGCCCGTGTGGTCCTCTCTCTTCAGATCCCCCATCAACACGCTGTCTGCACCTGACATGCAGGCTACAGCACACATTTATTTACTTTATTGTTCGTTCTCTCAGGTGTAACACGGACACCCTGTCAGCATTCCAGCCGCTGTCAATCAAACACACAGGAGGAAAAATGCATTTAAAACGTTTCTTTGTACTTAATTTGGCGGCTTTTTTTAAATACTTTTTAAGATACAACTAAAAGAAAACCAAAAAAGACATTAAGACGTTAAAATAGTCCATAAATCCAACCCCGCCCACCCCTACCTCCAGACAGGTCTGCATCAAAGCAATGATGTTGGAAAAAACACGTATTTCTGACGTATTAGGGATGACTTGATGTGATTGTAGATGGCCTTGTGTGTGACCTCTCTACGTGTGATCAAAGGGGGCTGCTCTAACACACGGCTTATCTGTGGTCCGTGCATGTTGGTTCCCACCTCTGCTTTTCATTACGAGCCCTCCTCCAATCATCCCTGTCACTTCAAACACTATTCTGGTTGTTCTCTGAAGACTCCTCTTACTGCCAGGAAACTATTAGACCCACCGCCATCTTCCGGCACGGTGTCTTTATTTCCACTTTGCAATCTCAAACCCCTGCTCATCGTTCACTGTATGAGCTTGAGCATTTAGCTCTCCTGCATAAACATGATCAGGAGCTCGTTGTGTTCTGGCTCTAGGGATGGAAAGGAGTTTTTAAGGTACATTTTTTCATCCAACAAACAGCATAAACTTGGCAAAACTGCATTGGTAAAAGTTAAGATAAGATATACCTCTCGATCCCAAATTGGGACATTTTTTTCGTTGGTAACACAGTTTAAAAGTAGGATATTGGTGTGCAATAAAAGGCATATTTAATGAATGTACAGTGTAAAGTTATAACTAGTCGTCAGTGCCCCTTTTGTTCCACATGTACCAGATGTTTTGGTGCTGTTGTCAACTTTGACCGCTACGTGATTATTGGATTTTTCCTCTCACCACTTCCCAACCCCAAGTCCTGGGAAGTAGGAAATACATATTGTGTATTTCGAGATGACGGCCTGGGGATTAACGGCAGATTTCTCACTGGCGATACTGAACCCTAATTTTTCCCCAACCCCCCACGATTTTGCGGAGGATGAATGGACTACAGCGAGTTCGGATTTCCTGCCTGTGGTTTCCCCCCTAATTCCCCTACCCGGGTTCAACGGCAAGGAAGCATTACGTTGAACCCACATCGCTCCTGTAGAGAATCCTCTTATGATGTAATGCATTGCTGTACTGTTGCTGTAATGGCATAATATATGTACCTACCCAGGAGGTTAGGAAAAGGTTACTGCAGAGTGAACCAACGCACCAATCACTCTTTCAGACCTGCTGCCATAGGACAATGTGCTCCAGGCATTGCTCAGCTGTGTGTGTGTGTGTGTGTGTGTGTGTGTGTGTGTGTGTGTGTGTGTGTGTGTGTGTGTGTGTGTGTGTGTGTGGTGTGTGTGTGTGTGTGTGTGTGTGTGTGGTGTGTGTGTGGTGTGTGTGTGTGTGTGTGTGTGTTGTGTGTGTGTGTGTGTGTGTGTGTGTGGTGTGTGTGTGTGTGTGTGTGTGTGTGTGTGTGTGTGTGTGTGTGTGTTGTGTGTGTGTGTGTGTGTGTGTGTGTGTGTGTGTGTGTGTGTGTGTGTGTGTGTGTGTGTGTGTGTGTGTGTGTGTGTGTGTGTGTGTGTGTGGCTCTCTAGTGGTGTGTGTGGTAACGTTGCTCTATAGTGGCTTCTCTGTGTGACTCTGTGGCACCAGTTTGTGACGGTATTCACTTTGTGACAATAGCTCGTTTATTTACTTTGGTGCTCAGTTTCAAGGTCTTCCGACACGCCAAATACTGACTGGTCGGATCTAATTCAGTAGAAAAGCAATAGTGTGGCCTGGTGTTTATCTCCTATAAAATCTGAGAAGGCTTAACCAAACTGAGCTTGGATATAGCTTTTTTAAAATGTGTAATCCATCATATCACAATCAATATTTGTTTACTTTTGAGATGTTGGAGAGATATCAGTCAATGCTTACAGAGTCTATTAAGCAATGTGATTTCCATTAGGCAGAGAGAGACGGTTTCATTAGACGTCTGCTCTGATGTTGTTATTGATCAGATGTTGAGTTTCTGCTCTGCTGTCTGGGCCCCACAAAAAACATTAAGAGGGAGAACATGTTGATTTATTTTGGCATTTATTGGAAAAGAGCCACAGTAGATGCAGGAAATACAAATATGAACATTTGCAGAATAGGGCCTCTTTAACATGTCTGATAGATTGCATACAGCTAATTCATGCAAAAGCAGAGGAGGGAGAAATACACTATGCTAATGTTATGCAGCTTATGAGTGCAAAACAGATGGTCATTATTAAAAAGCGACTTGACAATTATGTCCGACACACATTACCTGGTTCTTCAGTGACTTGCATATTCAAAAAGCCAATGTGATTATGTGCTGCAGTCGGGCGTGTCACCTGTGGTTTGATTCAAAAAGCCCTGAATGTTTTGTATAGAATCAGAAACAGGTTTATTGCCAGGTAGGTTCACACATACTAGGAATTTGACTTGATGTCATGGCGCATACATGAAATGAAAAAAACAAGAAATCTAATGTAAAACAAAACATCTTTTACACCGTAATAAAATACAGTTAAATAGCAATACAAATTAGAGAACGCAGTAATTTACATGGAAACAGAATTGCATTTTAGAATATAAACTATGAAATGTGAATATGTGCAGAAAGGAGTATGAACATTGTGTGCGTTAATGTAATGCATATAGACTATGATGTGGCAGAGGTAAAGTGTCAGTGGGGGGGCCGGGCCTTGTTTAAGAGGCTGGTAGCGGAGGGGAAGGAACTGTTCAGGTGGCGAGAGGTATTGGTCTTGATGAAGCGCAGCCTCCTGCCAGAGGGGAGGGGGGTGAACAGTTTGTGTCCAGGGTGGGAGGGGTCGGCCACTATCTTCCCTGCCCGCCTCAGGGTCATAGGGTAGGATAAGTGCA